ATTGAAAGATGGAGCATTTGGGAGATAATTAGGTTTAAATGAGGTCATGGCATGGGGTCCTGATGATGGGATTAGAGCCATGTGAGCACACGGCAAGAAGGGAGTCATATGCAAGCCAGGAAAAGAGCTTTCACCAGAACCCAACTATGCTGACTGATCTTGAACTTCCTGCCTCCAGAACCGTGAGAAAATAAATTTCTGTTGTTTAAGCCACCCACTGTATAGAATTTTGTTATAACATCCCGTGATGACTGACACATGAATCCCCTGAAACTATTAAAGGCCTAGTATCAAGAAACCTCTGTGCTAGTCCATTTTGTTACTGAGTGGCAAAGAAAAGTTAAAATACACAAACATCCTAAGCACTAAAAAGACAATTCTCATTGTTGTTGGCAGTCATTTGGGTATTAATCAGAATGAGAAAAGAAAAGAAAATGGGAATCAGAAGAAAAAAAGAATTCTTCACAGTTTGCCTCCAACGGTTTACTTACCCTGATCTCTTACTTTTCCTGACCTGAGGTCTTTACTGACCTCCTGAGCTACATTGTATGAAGTTAGGACAGATTTACTTCTTACCCATCTCTCTGCCCCAGGATGCTGACCCATGTGGACCATATTCCCCAGAACACTGGCTTCTCTTTGGGTTTGGCCCATGTGCAGCCCCAATAAGAGGTCAGAGAGAAGGAGACGAGTGAGAGATGAGAGCATTTGTTTCCTTATTCCCCTGGCTCCTTCCCTGCAAGGTTGCAATAAATTAACTCTGTCTCTAACCAAAGCTCAGTGATTCCTTCAAGATGGCCAACACTTTCTCCCTCTGAGTTCTAGTAATTAATCCCTTGTTCCCAGTGGCCTAGGCAAGGTAACAATGTGGGTGCTACTAGGCCCCCTCACCCCACCCTGTGGATCCCCTGCATGCTCAACTTTGAAAACAGCCTTTTGGAAAAACAAACGAATAAACAAACAGAAAACACTGTTCAAACTGCCCTATTTCTGTGTGTCTGTGCGTGTGTGTCTGTGCGTGTGTGTCTGTGCGTGTGTGTCTGTGTGTGTGTGTGTGTGTGAGTGCACATTTTGCTTCCTGTTGGGACATCAATCAATACACACATTTTTATTCATGTAGTACTCTCAGGTCAAAATATTCCTCTTCCCGGGCGCCTGGGTGGCTCAGTCGTTTAAGCGTCTGCCTTCGGCTCAGGTCATGATCCCGGGGTCCTGGGATCAAGCCCCATATCGGGCTCCCTGCTCAGCAGGAAGCCTGCTTCTCCCTCTCCCACTCCCCCTGCTTGTGTTCCTGCTCTCACTGTGTCTCTCTCTGTCAAAAAAATAAATAAAATCTTTAAAAATATATATATATATTCCTCTTCCCTCTCTCTGGTCAACTTCTAAACATGTTACCAAATGTGCTTGAATGTTGTTGCCCCTCTGTTATTTCCCCTGTTGCCACGACAGAATAAATAAACTGTCCACCAATATTTTGTTCTAATAGCACCTTATTTTAAAAGCACATACAGCCCACATATATATTACAATTCAGTACAAGCATCACAGATCAAGGATAGCACCTGACATACAGCACTCAATAATTATGTTACATTTCTATGAAACAACTTGAGAAGTTTTTTTTTTTTAAACTTAACAATGCTATTAAAGATTACATTTTAAAATAGTGACAACAACAACAAAAAATACCTTTCGATACATTAATTTGGCTAAGCATTCAGGAAGAAAAAGTATTAAAGACATGAATAACATACGTCTCATTTTCCTTCAGGAATGTAGTCTTTCTTTATATCTCTATAGTCTTGAATGTTTAATTCACCTTACTATATTTTTTTAAATATTTCCCATTTGGTAAACTCACATAGAAAGGAGACATTTACATGACCACATAAGCAGTTAGGTATTTTCTTCCAAAGTATTCAATTGAAAATGCTTTACAGAGAAAACAAAGCTATTATCTCAATGGTAGGTAACATTTCTTTTTTTGTTAGTGGTTACCAGATAATTCATAAGAGAAACAACCTCAAGTGAGTTATAAAGGTCAATCCCTTGTGAACTGAAATAAATTTTCAAGTTCAATTTAAAACAAGATTTTTAATTACCAAGATAGACTATCTGGGGATAACTTCAAATTGAAAGGCCAAAAATCTCAAGTTAGTTGATTTTTTTTATAGAGAATTTAACCCCTCCCTCAAAGAAAATCTGATATATCATTTCCCATAAATGAAAAACTAATTATATCACCATATTAACAGCATCTAAATGTTTCCTCAACATTTGAAACATCTAAATACTATGAGTAATATTTGGGGCCTAAATTTCTTTCTTTTTTTTTTTTTCTTAAAGATTTTATTTATTTGACAGAGAGAGACACAGCGAGAGAGGAAACACAAGCAGGGGGAGTGGGAGAGGGAGAAGCAGGCTTCCCGCCGAGCAGGGAGCCCGATGCGGGACTCGATCCCAGGACCCCGGGATCATGACCTGAGCCGAAGGCAGACGCTTAACGACTGAGCCACCCAGACGCCCCTTGGGCCTAAATTTCTAGTTAATTATCCTCATGGAAATTTTTAGAGAATAATAATGAAGAATGATTACACAACAGTTTACTTGATACTTGCTGAACATTTATTTTATGTTAGACATAGATTTTCAAAGCCAAGTGAAAGGTAAAAGCTACTTTTTTTTTTAATCATAGGATCATTTCATCTCATCTAAGTCAAATAAATTTTTAAAAGAAAGCATAGTATAGTACATAACCTAGTGTATAAAGCATCTTAATCTGTTTGGGCTGCTACAGCAAAATCCTACGGACTGGGTGGCTTATACCCAACAGAAATCTAATTCTTGCAGTTCTGGAATTTGGAAGTTTGAGATCAGGGTACCAACCTGGTCGGATGAGGGCCCTCTTCAGGGCTGCAGACTTCTTGTATCTTCACATGATGTAAGGACTAGGGATCTCTCTGAAGTCCCTTTTATAAAGGCACTAATCCTATTCAGAGGGCTACACCTTCCTGACTTAAGCACCTCCAAACCCCCTCCTACTAACACCATCACATCAAGCATTAGGATTTTAACACACGTTTTTTGGGACGATACAAATATTCAGACCATAGCAGAAAGTATAAAGGATTTGGAGTTGGATGGGAGATGCAAATGCTTACCATTATTCACTGTATATATCAATAATCATTCATTCCTGGTAATCAATTACTTTTCCCCATGTATGAAAACAACCTGTCAAGGTTAATTCAGTCACCATTTAACACAAGAAGTTGGTAAGGTGTCAGAGTTCATAAATTTTTCTAACTTAAGATGGCAAAGAAATTTTAAAAGGCAAAAAAAATTTTAAAAATTAGTAAGTTCACTTCTTAAAAACAAAAGACAAAACGGAACAAATGGCTATAAGACCTAAAGTGACACTGAAAGCAGTACAAGAACAGTTGCCCTGCCTCACAGTTTCCCAAAACCAGGCCGCATAAACTAGAGAAGAACCAAGCTCTTTGACTTATTCTTTCAAAGACTGGGCCTAAAAACGGCCTTAATATTTAATAAATATTTCCTGAGTGCCTACTCTGTGCCAATTGAGAACAGACAATGTTAGGAAACAAAACAGCACAAGCCCCTGCTCTCGTGGAGTTTATACTGACTTAGAAAGGGATTATTTATATTAAATGTAAATCCCTCTTATTGTACACTATAGCTACTTTTTCTCCTTTTCACTATAGATTAAGAGGAACGTTGGCTGCCATCCCATGTCAAAATGTCTCTTTATTCCAGACAATATGCTCTTCTGGTGACTATATTATGTGTGGCAATATTTCAGTCATTCTCTGATATACGTAAAATTTCATTATTTGTTTAAAAAAAAAAAGCTGCAAAACAACCATACAAATACAATACATTTTGATTTTACTTTAAGTAACTGAGTTAATAATGTTAAGTAACAAATACCAATAAAAATAATAATTCAGTCACAGGATTTATCATGATAAATGCTTTGAATGCAATCATACGTCCAAAGAAGGGAAAGAAACAAGGGGACATGGAAATATTATATAATTTTATGAGCACTGGATAAAATCAAGTAAACGTTAAAGGATTTAGATAACCTTTTATATAATCAAGTGCCTGAAATCTGTAATCCAGGCTTTCGAAACCCATCTTTCAAGCCTCCCTTGAGGAGACAAGAGAGGCTAGCTATATGGGCTCTGTAAACCCTGAATACAGAAACATAATGGTTAGCCAAAGCAGAGGGCATGTGAAGGACACTCAGCCTGCCTCTGACAGGCAGGCCCCCAGGTAACCCAAGTAGGCTTAATTTAACATTAAGACCAGTCTTAATGTTAAAGACCAGAAAGAAGAATAACCAGGAAAATCATGTCCCCAAAATGCATGGTTCTCCAACAGACAGTATTGCCTCCCCCATTCATGTAGCTCATCACAAAATCAATTTTTTTAAAGATTTTATTTATTTGAGGGAAAGAGAGAGAGCACAAGCAGGGGTAGCAGGGAGTGGCAGAGGGAAAGGGAGAGCCCCAGCCAGACATGGGGCTCAATCCCAGAACCTTGAGATCATGACCTGAGCTGAAGGCAGATGCTTAACCGACTGAGCCACCCAGGCGCCCGCACAAAATCAATTTTATCAAGATTCTCTTTATAGGTAAAAATTCTCTCCACATTTGCTGATTTGAAGACAGGTTTCATTTTTCTATTAAACTTTCTGTTTTTTCAAGCTAGACTTCTGCAATTATTCAATCCCTCCTTACATAAAGTTTCCAAAGTTGATAATAATACAATTAATAAGTTCAGTACCTTACCAAACAGTCCCAATTTAACACAATTTATTGATGATGTCTCTTCAATTTTCCTCTATTTAAACATTTAGACTATTTCTCCCATAATTATCATGCATCAGTTTACATTCTAATATTTTAAATCAAACTTTGTATACAAAACAAAAAGAAAATAAGTTCATATAAAAACAGGAGGGTAGAAAGTACCTTTAATTTGGATCCATGAGGTACAAGTAGAGATTTATTCCTCTTTGGTGGGATATAAAGCTCCCACTTTCCATAATCCAGTTTTTTATATGGGTACGAAAATGGATTCCAATCATCTAAAAAAAAATAAAGAAGATCAGTTAACAATTTGCATGGTATGATTAACATTTAATGAATTTCAAACAAAGTATAATATGCTGCCCACTTGTACAGAATCAAATTGCTTAAAAAATGTTAAGTTTTCTAGGGTGTTAAGCAAAATGCTCTACCAGCCATTTAGAAAAAAGCAGGTTATTTTAAATTTATTTTTAAGAAATGTATTTGAAAATTTACCTTTTGCATCTTAAAATTAAAAATTACAACATTTTCAATTGTCCTTCCAAATTCTAACATGTCCATCAATAAAAAGAATATAAAAGAAAATGATGGGTCCTTTTGTAGGAAACACCACCAAAAATGGGAGTTAATATTAAAAAAAACAGAAGTGCATTCTTGGTGGGGCGCCTGGGTGGCTCAGTCAGTTAAGCGGCTGCCTTCGGCTCAGGTCATGATCCCAGAGTCCTGGGATCGAGCCCCGCGTCGGGCTCCCTGCTCAGTGGAGACCCTGCTTCTCCCTCTCCCTCTGCCTGTCTCTCTGCCTACCTGTGCTCTCTCTCTGTCAAATAAATAAATAAAATCTTAAAAAAAAAAAAAAAGAAATGCATTCTTGGTAGACAAGATACATCTCATGGCAGAAAAAAATTATGAAAAATAATTAAAATCATATTACATTTATCCAAATCTACAAGTGTATGACAAAACTGAGTTAAAAAGCTAAAGAGGGGCGCCTGGGTGGCTCAGTCGGTTAAGCGACTGCCTTCGGCTCAGGTCATGATCCTGGAGTCCCGGGATCGAGCCCCGCATCGGGCTCCCTGCTCGGCGGGGAGGCTGCTTCTCCCTCTGACCCTCCCCCCTCTCATGTGCTCTCTCTCTCATTCTCTCTCTCTCAAATAAATAAAATCTTAAAAAAAAAAAAAAAGCTAAAGAAATGCCACAAGCAAGAAAGGTGGAAGGTTATAAACTATAGGGAGCAAAGGAAAGGTAGATCACAGATCTCGGAAGCAAGCCAAAATGAAGAACAACAGACCTATGCACACAAAATCAGTAAGTAAAGGACACACTGTTTAATAAGTGGTTCTGTGACAATTGGCTATCCTTATGGAAAAAAGAAAGAAAGAAAGAAATAGATCTCTACCTAATACTATGCCCAAGAATCATCTGAGCACAGATTGATGCTTAAATATGACAGGCAAAACTGTAAAATGTTTACAAGAAAATACAGGAAAATATGTTTATGATCTCAGGTATAAAAAGTATATTTTTAAACAAGGTACAAAAATAAAAATTAGAAACAAGCCTGATAAATTTGACCAGTAAAATTATAAATTTATCTTCACATATAGATGGATGGAGAGACAAACAGAATGAAAAGACAAACTACCAATTGGGAGAATACATTTATAAAGAATATACCAAGAAAGAACATCTAAAATATATGAAAAATGTCTATAATTCAATGAGAAAAAGAAAACAAACCAATAGAAAAATGACAAAGACATTCAGCAGAGGACACATGATGGCCAAGGAGCATGTCATAATGCTCAAGCTCACTTGTAATTAGGGAAACACAAATTAAAAGAACAGTGAGACTCCATTTACCACCTGCTGGATTAGCAAAATTTAAGAGCCTGAATATATCAGGTAGTCAGCAAGGATATAAAATAACACTGCAATTGAGAGTATAAATTGGTAAAACAATTTGCATTATATAGCAAAGTTGAAGATACATGCACTCGAAAGCCCAACAATCTTCCCCTTAGGTAACAGCCTGGAGAAATTCTGACAAATGTGCACAAGATAGCATTCACAAATGCTCAATGAAGAACTGTTTGTAATACCAAAAAATGGAAGCCATCAAAATGTAAGTCAGACACAAAATGAGTAAATAGTTCTGGTATAATTAAACAATGGAATGCTATACAATAATATAAACTAAAAAGCAAATACATATGTGCAAATAGCTAAAGCATGGAAGTTAATTTTAAAAGGGTATGGAAGAATACCATTTATACGAAGTTTAAAAATATGCAAAAGAGTATAACATGACACTTATGAATACATATGCATATAGTAAAAATATCAAAAGAAAAATGAGAATGTTAAACATCAAATTCTATGGGTGATTTCCACTGGATAAAGGAAAAGGAACACAGGAAGCTTCAGTAGTATCTGTAATATTTTATATCTTAAGGTAGGCGGTGTATATAGAGATGCTTATTACATTATTTCCTATTGTTTTTGCCTAAAATATTTCATAGTTCTAAAAATAATTAAGCAGCACTGTGATGCTATGCACCGTAGTGCTATGACATTAGATTCTCAGCCGACGAGGTAATAAAAGCATCAGGAGGCTTGTTTTATGCCATGATTTCCTTCTTTACATACCAACTCTTTTCACCCCATCAGTTCTAAGGATCTTTACCCCCAGACACTCTGAATGCTGGGGACAGAGTGAGCGTAAGAACCAGTATTTAAATAAAGATCCTTCTAAACATTTCCCTACTCATCATGTCCTCATCATGAAGACAATCTGAAAATGTCTAAAGGTGGTTTATATTAAAAAAAACAACTCAACAGGCTCTGTGTTCTTATATGCTCCTGCTCCTAAAATTTCAAATATATCTTACCTACATACAGTGTGACAGTCCCTTACCCAAGCAAAGAATTGAGGGCATAATTAGAAAGAAAAAAAAAAAAAAAGCTTGAAATACGAATATCTAGGTACTGTAACACTTCATACATTTATTGAATTTCTTTTTAAGCTAATCACTTAAGACAATTAATAAACTTAAGACAAGTAGCAGATCTTTTCCTGGTTAGTTAGATCTGAAAATAAAGGGTACAGTTCATTAGTTCATTCATTCATTCATTAAATATGAACTGAATGCTTAATATAGGCTCTGCTCAATGCCAAACTCAAAATTAATGTTCAGAATAACAGTCATATTTCCTGAAGAGAAGGTTAAATTGAGTAATAGTACACCAAAATGAATAAATTTATAATACAGATTCACTAAAAACTCAACTATAAATAAGATTTTGTTACTTTGAAAGTGAATCTTCAACTATAGGGGTAATTTACAGATGCAGATTTATGTAAAAGCTGTTTTCAGTAATGTAAAAATGAATGTGCTTTTGAATATCACTGATTGAATATCAGTTTAACTAGTTCTTCAACTTGCAGTCACTTGATTTTTAAGGTCTATTTAAACAAGTATTAATATTTGTATAAAAAATACTTTTACTGAATCACATTTTCCTTTTATAAAATCTTGGAGTTCTAAATCTCCTAAAGCACCTGTTGATTATTTGTAATTCTACACTGTGAATTTTTTTTTTCTATCATCTTCAACACTTTCTTTTTATTAGCACCTCTCCTACTCATGGAAACTCGGGTGTTTACTTTTACTGCAGTTACATTTGTCTTGCTAAACATCACCCTTGAAAGCAAAATTTAGAACATCTTCACATATGCACCCCCAAGAAAATCCATTCCACCAACTATCATAAGTGATGTAGAATATGTCTAAAGATTTCACATGACAAAGGGAGAGGAAGGTTTACAAGGCATACACGCATGAAACAACTGAAGATTTTTGCATTCGGCAACTGTCGCCCCATGCAAATTCCTCTTCAGTCACACCACTACCAATCTGTCAGCTCCTTGACTCTTCTTCCAATTACTGTTAGCCCTGAATTTTCCTCACTCAACTTCCCTTATTAAATAGTGTTGCTTTTTTCTATTGGAAACACGAACACCAATAAAAATTCCCACTTCCACAGTATAGCATGCAGATGTAAGATTGTTTCTCCCTAAAATGTGTTTTCCAAAATGGCTAATAAAATGAGATTTTCTCCAGGGGATAAATATATCTAAGGCCCAGAAACAGAATAATTAAAAAAAAATGGATTTGGACCTGTTCTTCTTTACATTAAACTTTACATTAAACAGTTAAGAAAGAAGGAACCAGAATTAAGGTACATCTAGGTATAATTGCAGGAACCACTTGTAGAAGTACATAATTAAAAATAAATAAACAAATATTAAACATCAAATGACCAGTATAAAAATTTTATTTTTTTTATTTTTTTTAAAGATTTTATTTATTTATTTGAGAGAGTGAGAAAGCACAAGCAAAAGGGGAGGAGCAGAGGGAGAGGGAGAAGCAAACACCCCACCGAGCACTAAGCCTGACCTGGAGCCCAATCCCAGAATCTGGGATCACACCCTGAGCCGAAGGCAGAGATGCTTATCTGACTGAGCCACCCAGGCACCCCATAAATAAAATTAAGTATTTATAAAATTTGCTTCACAAAAATATGGAAGACAAAATAAGAAGTTGAAAGACAAAATTTAGGGAAATTTTTGTGTTGTGAAATAAGTCATGAGACTTTATTCCTAAACATAACTGAAAATAACAGCAATAATGATAAATGATTCTAAGCCATACTAGAGTAGATCTAAAGAGATACTTTTGGAACTAGATTATTCAAACATTTTTCATTTTAATCTTGTATGACTTTTATTCTGAGTACACAAGATAGCATTAACTTTATTTAAGTACTTAATGGAAATAGTTAATATCCCTATGTAGGCCTCAGGATAGGACCAAAAATAGCCCATTACCACATGGGACAATTGTTTGCTTCTTTATCAAGCACAGAACTAACACTGAGAGTTCTGTAGTTCAGTGGTTCTCAAACTTTAGCTTATACCAGAATCACCTGGGCTTATTGAAACAGATTGCTGCACCCCACCCACAGAGCTTTTGGTTCAGTAGATCTCAAGTGTGGCCTAATAATTTGTATTTCTAACAAGTTCTCAGGAGATGTTGATGCCACTGGCCTAGAGACCACACTAGAAACAACTGCCTGGGTCAATAGGTATGTTCAGGTGTTCTCTACTCCTACCTTTTGAGGGATTTTCTAAATTAAATTAGATTTATGGACTACCAAATAATGCTCTAAATCAATAGATCAAGGAAATTCTGAAATAAGAAATATCTTTGATAATCCT